GGGGGGGGGGGGTGGTATGGAGGTTTCTCCCTCGTGCTGAGAGCTGCCAAGGCGGCGGCACCCCTAAGGAGTCCAGCACCCCAGATACCCCTGTGGACTCTCCACCTGGCTGGCCACACCTGCCAGCACCCCTTACAGGGCAGCTCCCCCATGCCTCTGGGCTGCTTTGTGCGAGACAGGAGGCAAATCCCCCCCCTTACGATGCGTACCAGACCGTGGACGGTGTCTGTGCGCGCCGCGCAGGCGCAGGCAAATCCCGGTCCAGCGGCAGCAGGCGGAAGCGGAAGCGGCTGCGGGACTGGCGTGAGGCCGGGGGGCGCCTGGGGGCTGGCGTCACAGCGGGGGCAGGGTCGCGGCTGCGCGGGCTCTGACCAGGTCTAAGCAGGAGTGGGTGGGTGAAGCTGAGAGTCCCGGTCTGTGGCCAGGGATGCTTATAGACAACTCAAAACTTCCTAAATGATAAAAAAAAACAACCCTGAAACCCAGTATAACTTAAACTGCAGACGTGACTCTGTACCATTTGAACAGGGCTGCAGATAATCTGACAGGAAAACCATAGGAATACAGCGATTACACTGAGTGGTGGGGGACAGAGATGTTGGAGAAAGCCTTGCATTGTTTTATTTCCGAAAAGAATACTTGTAGCACAATTAATTCCTGACCCTGGCTCGCATGTGCCTGACACTGGAGAGCCACAGGGGGTGATTTCTGCCCCTGTAAGATTGCAGCCAGGAGGAAGAGAAGTCAGGCATCAAGTTGGTCAAGGCTGCACCTTAGGGTCAAACTGGCCCAGAGAGGCATGAGCTGTCCTAACCAGCCTCCCACCCTGTCCAGACTCAAACCACTGTGCTCATGGACCTGAGGAAGACCGTCTTGCCTTGAGAAGCTCGTCTGACTAGACGCCAGTTATGCACTTGGTCCCACAAAAGGTATAGCAGCAAGAAATCCTTGCCTCTTGGGTAATTTCTCAGATCAAGTGTAGTGGGCTTCTTGACCTGGCAGAGGAAATCCCATGTCCCAAGAAGGCAGTTTTCCTGAACCACTTCACGGGAGAACTGCTCTTCTGGCGTGGTTCGGTACCCACTGATGTGCAGTAGCTTTAAAAGCCCAGTTTATGGAAATAGGAGTCTCCTCCCTTGCTTGCTCCGAGGTCCTTATGGCTAAGGGCAAGCAAAATGCAGGAGCATCCAACCCCCAAGCCGCG